AGTAGTAATTTCAGCTCAAAACACTTTAAGTCATTTTAAAAATGAGTAAATGACAGAATTTCATTGTTTTTCTCTTTGACAGGTACTGCAACCAGTTCAGCATCGATTCAATCATTTACTCCAACAAGACAACTTTCAGAGGATATACCAAGATGAAAACATTAAAACCGAAATTGTCACCCTGTTATCGATGTTAGAAGGTGCCATCATGGGTACCCGCATTGACAACGTATCCACTGTCTTTTCATTCAGTCTTCCACTTTTAAATGAATGTGTATCATTACTTGGTACATATCATAACTGTCCTGAAGTGGTTGTGGTTATTTTAGAAGTGTTCACAGTGATGGCTAATCGTATGATATGCTATCTCTCAGAGGTGAGTCAAAATTTGTGATTATATTAGTGATTAGATATAGAATTAAGTGAAATACATGTAAGGCAGTTGCAAGCATTTATGTAAAGTTCACAGGGTTTTCTATTTGAAAGTATTTCTACAAATGTAAGAATAACCTTATCTTGCAATGGTGAAAAATCCTTCAAAAATTAACTATCACCATAGCACCTGGATTAAGATCTCTCCTAAAAATTATGTGATCGCTTGGTTTATGTTCAAAAATCAACCCCTTCTAAAAAATCAATATCTTTTTTGAGTTATCTGGCAACAAAGTTATTTAAAACGTTCTTGTTTCCATAACAACTAGTTCCAAATCTTGAACAATCTCTGACCAATTGGTATTTGAAGATGTCATGAGAATCCATCAATAACTTTTTGACTTATAAATGAAAAAGTATTCCCGAAATTGCTGTGTCCATGGCAACAGGATCCACATTTCTACCAAAATTTTGTCCTTGTATCAAAGGACATTTGAAAATTTCATAAGAGTCCATCTATAACGTTTTGAGTTATGCTTACAGAAAACAAACCAATGTACACAGAATGTTTTGTTTAATATTTGAACAAAATTAGCCTCTGTAGTTTGGTTAATTAAGGTTCAATTGTACGCATATAAAAATGTCTGTTTACATGTTTGCAATCTAGTGGCCCTAACTGCGTGATATTCTTGTTTTTATTACAGAATGATACCAATAAAGTGTATGATGTGTCTATAAGTTTACTTCAAACATATTCTAAATATAATACAGGTAAAGTGTCTATTTAAATTATATGAATTCCTACTGTGCATATTGTGCTGTACTTTCAGAGGAAGACTAAATAATCTGGGCATAGATCCAGTTAACATGTATCTCAGTTGAAGCCTTGAAGATCTATGGCTTTTGTTTATATTACATATTTATCTGACACTTTGTTTGTTGTTATTGACAACACCATAAATAGCAGTCAGTGTATGTAGAGTGCAGTTTTCACGCAAACTGTTTTTTGCATTTATGCCATTCATTTAGCACATTCGGGTTGCATGTTTCTGTAACCTAATAATATGTGTTTTTTCGTTCACTGCGAGATCTCATGTTAAGCGTACAAGGCATATGGCAAAAAATGTTAGTGTAAAAATGCTGATCTTTGGCATTGAAATACCCTCACTTATTTAAAATTGAACATCACCATCAAATGTATATAGAACATTATTACTAGTAAGCGTGTAAATACTCAAAAATTACTTATTTCTTGAATCTCACGCGATGTGAGCTTCAAGAAATGATGCTATGACCTTTGTTTTTCCTGGCGTATTGCGATTTCATGCATAACGCAGGATCTCACGATGAATGGAAAATGGCCAATTGCATTTTGGTAGCCCAGTTATTTTATTTTTTATTTTCTGTGATCACCATTGTCTGTGAGATCATTTCTGAAATTAAATATTCTAATTAAAAAATATAGAATTACTATGGCCAGGCCAGTCTTTTCATTACCAAATATTAAATTTAATAAATACATTATGCATATGCAAGAAATTCACAAATGTGTGACAGGTTGGTTGAAAACTTTACTGTACCGTAATTCATTCTTATTATTGATTCTCATTTATAAATTTCAGGAAAAAAGCATTTTGAGATCACAGCAGAGGAAGATCATTACCAAGATATTTCACTAATGATGGAGTTATTAACGCATTTACTGTCAAAAGACTTTGTTGATTTTGGTATTACAGGTAATATATTGAACACAAACACACATTACTTTGTTTTTATCAACCATACAAAAAAGATATTAGCTTGTCACTCTACTTTAATAATACATCGCCTGCACATTTTGGCTCCCCATAGAGGCTTTTAGCAGGAAATGTGTTTATTTGATTTATTTGAGCTTTGCATACATATGTTTTCTTGTTACACCTAGGAGGCACTAGGACTCCCTAGCTTCAGAATAAATTTCATAATTGCTCTCACAGTTCTCATCATTCATATTCATGACAATTTTCAAGTTATGCACAAACATAATTTTTAGTATGTTTATTGATTTTCATGAGAAAGAGTGTACTTTTACTTTTAATGCAACCAATATTTTGAGTCTGCTCATCAGTATAACTTTGAATCTTCATTGCATTTCAGAAGACATTGCCTCTGGAGAAGGTGACCAGATATCAGCCAATGTTTCCGCAGCTGACATAGTATTGTATGGTTTAAATATCATAGTTCCATTAATGAATGCTGAGTTATTGAAGGTATGATATTGAGTATTTGGACCAATTGTTAAATGATGGTTTGTTTCTTACCACATTCTGTAAGCACACTATTGTTGAACAGAGAATCATCTTTGAATCCACTATGGCACTTTGCTGAGTTCAGTATTATTATTTAGCATTATTTGCTCTATCCCTAGTGCTTCTCCAATGGAAGGAAACATTAGCAAAAAATTGCATTTATTACATACTGTACTATTAAAGATTAAAATAAGACTTACTGTAAAACTATTTAACTTCGCTATTTTCATGTTTTGAGCATGTTTTAATTTCACGAATTTGTCAAGGAAACAATGAGTTTTATTGAGTTTTACATGTTCACGTAGATTTAATTTAGCGGATTTTACTTGTCAGCAAAAATAGCAAAATTAAAACCCAGTGAATAATTAATGCATTTACAGTAGTTTGCTCATACATGTATATACTGTTATATGCATAAGTATATGCTTTACTAGTAGAGAAAATACAGTATACCGTCAATACATGTTAGGTGTTGTGTGTTAAATGTCTTATAGCGTAGAATGTTCTTATGTATAGCTTTATACCATGAGACTCTTACACATGAGGATTCATTAAAACAAGTTAATACATTATTCAAAGTTCATTTCTAAGCAATAGGGTCATTGAATACAGATTGTGATCATAAATTGTTATATTAGATTCATATCTTTTATGGAAACTGACATACGTTGTTTATGAAGAATATTTTGGAGAACATATCAACTGTTCACACTGGGTCAATCTATGTTAATTTCTAAATCACTTTTTTCTCTGTTTTCCAGTTTCCGACCCTCTGCAGTCAGTATTACAAGCTTATTTCATTCATTTGCGAAATCTACCCAGAAAAAATATGCCAGCTTCCTGAACAGTTATTTAAGAGCTTACTTGGATCCATAGAGCTTGGTCTTACAAGTTTTGGACTGGAAGTCACCAAGTTGTGTTTTGATAGTATATCAGCTTTAGGTGAATACGAGTACAAAGAACATGACAATAATGTCCAACTTGTGGCAGCAACGCAGCACTTTTTAAAGGTAAGTAAAATGGGAATTTAAGCAATTCTCATTATGTATCATGGTTTAAATGACCCAGGGTAATCTTAAGTTAAGTGTGATGTTTAAAGACGTCAAGTGAACGAGGGCAATCATTGGCTGAATGTGATAGTTTGTAGAATTCAAACGA